GGCTGGGTTTAGATCATGCAACTGGTAACTGGAGATGCCAGAATTTGAGCCCTGTCTGGCTCTGAGGTCGCAATTCTTTTTCCTATGCCATGGACAGTATGTAGAGCCATTTCTAAAATGCCTCGAGTCATCTTACTCCCCACTGGTGCTGACATTAGCTAGAGACTTTTGAGTGGATGAAGCTGATGTTTTGCTGAGATTTTGTTTGCAGCCCAGTCTCTCCCATATTTAGACCTCACCTGGCTCCCCCTGCCACTTAGGATGCCCTGAAACATGGCCCGGGTCTTACCGGGTGTTGTGCCTCTGCTCACAGGTTGCCTGCATCAGCCCTCCCCACTGTCTCTGTCTGTCGAAACCTCACCCAGTGATGCAGAGTCGGTGGAGCTTCTGGGGATGATTTCCCAATTCCCTTCCGCAGAGTCAACTTCCTCCACTTGGTCCCTGTGAAACTCGATTCCAGTACTGATCACTCACTGCCCTGTACAGGAATAGTTTATTTAATGCTCTCCTTCTCTGTGGGCTCCCAACTCCAAGGGACAAAGGTGTCAGCTTAATCATCAGCTCCTGGGGCCCAGGACAGCACCCGTCACACAGTGGGGAACTCAGCCATGGAGAGTTAAATTCAGTGGATCAGGTGGAGCACGGGCTGAATCCAGGCCTCTAGGAATTAGCCTTAGGGACCTCACTGTCTTAACTTGTTTGGGAGACCTTGGAGTGTCATAGAATAAAATCCACTAGTGACATCTTCCTGTGGTCCATGTCACCTGTCACTCGGGGACAGGGAAATTGAATTGGCGTGGTAAGTCTGGCTCTTCACAATGCTCTCCTGATGGCTCTCAGCACAGTGCATCCGTCTGTAGGTGTCCAGGCTCTTCTCAATCCTTAGTGGAGATGACTGATCAGGGCCCTTTTTAAAAACAAGGATGTTGTGACTTCCAGTTGTAACCCTTGGAGGTTGCTGGCTGCAGGGTCTCAGCAGTGATGCCCTGAGGCTGGCTTTATGGCACCTGTCAGCATCCCAGGAGCCATCATTTGTCCTTGCTGAGCTGGGGACAGCGTCTCTCCAAGGGCTGCCTCACCATGTCTCTCTCCTGTGTTCTCTGGATGAGGTATTATACTTCACTGATCAAAAGCTGCTTCTCTCCAGAAGGCTGATCCTATTTTCCAAGAGTTGGTTTTGAGGGCAGTTTTTAACTGTTATATGTGATTGGACTTCAGTTTCATTGTTATGTATACTTAGCAGTTTAGCATGAGTTTTGAAAAAAACAACAGTTCTATCTTATTTGTGACAACTTGTGTGACTAATTAATGCTCCACAGTGCACTGTGAAACTTGCAAGGTACCACATAAGCACCAAGTCATAACACATTTCTTGTTTGAAACTGTATTAGCAAATTGAACATCTGTATTACAGGAATACAGCGTATTAGTAAATTCAACAGCTTTTGTTGCTTCACCTTGTTAAGCAGGAAAATAATCCTTATGGCTTGTAAAGCTCCTGGAAGTTCCAGTAGGTGCCATTTTGGAAGTGAATTGAGTTGAATAAATGAAGGCAGATGTCAAGCATTTAATTGGCTCTTTGCTCCCAGCTGGCTCTATCAATTCTGGAACCATTGTCAGAGATGATATAATTCACCCATGTGAAACTGACAAGGTGGGTTACATGCTGTTGGTCTCTGGGGAGGAGGAGCCGGCTACGCAGAGTTAATGTTTAATACCTGGCTAATGCCACTTGTATTAGTCAGGGTTCTCTTAGATATAGATATCTCCTATTAGTTCTGTTCTATATATACATGTGAGTTTATTATTTATATATATACATTTATGTATATGTAAAGATATATATAAAGGGGACTTAATTAAGTATTAACTTACATGATCACAAGGTCCCACAATAGGCTGTCTGCAAGCTGAGGAGCAAGGAGAATCAGCCCGAGTCCCAAAACTGAAGAACTTGGAGTCCCATGTTTGAAGGCAGGAAGCATCCCGCATGGGAGAAAGATGTAGGCTGGGAAGCTAGGCCCTTCTCTCCTTTTCATGTTTTTCTGCCTGCTTTATATTTGCTGGAAGCTGATTAGATTGTGCCCACCAGATTAAGGGTGGATCTGCGTTCCCCAGCCCCCGACTCAAATGTTAATCTCTTTTGTTAGTGACATCCTCACAGACATACCCAGGACTGATGCTCTGTATCCCTCAATCCAATCAAGTTGACACTCGCTATTAACAATCACACCACTGTGGCTTGGTCTTCACAGAGTTTTCTACTAAAGTTCCTCCAGTAGCAGAGAGGAATAGAGAGAAAGGCTGTGGCAGCTGCCCCCGAGTGGTCCGCATTTGTTTTAAAATCTCGAGGCTTATGTGAAATGTTCAACTTCTTTTGTTTTCTACTCCATCACATTTTCCTCCAAAAATCTCCATCTAAAAAGGTCTAACTGGGAAGAGGCCTCTTTTCTAATTCTGTGGCTTCTGGAACCCTCAGGCTCAGATACTCGGCTTGAGAAGCAGATATAAAAATAATGATCAAAGGGGTATAAAAAAGACACCAGAAAACAACCAAAGTAACTTTGGTGTTTAAAATGTGATTCTTGTACATTTTAAAATAACTGAAAGAATAGAATCAGATTGTTTGTGACACAAAGGACGTAATGCTTGAGGGGACAGATACACCATTTTTTTGTCTTTTTTTTTTGAGACAGAATCTCACTCTGTTGCCCAGGCTGGAGTGCAGTGGTACAACCATGACTCATTGCAGCCTTAACCTCCAGGGCTCAAGTGATCCTCCAAGCTCAGCCTCTTAAGTGTTTGGGATGACAGGCATGCACTACCACACCCAACTAATTCTTTGGTATTTTTCACAGAGATGGGGTTTTGCCATGTTGCTCAGGCTGGTGTTAAACTCCTGGGCTCAAGCAATCCGCCCACCTCTTCCTTTCAAAGTGCTATAATTACGGACGTAAGTGCCCAGCCAATACTCCATTATTATGCATTGCATGACTGTATCAAAACATCTCAGGTATTCCATATATATATCCCATATATACATTTACTATGTATCCAAAAAAATTTAAAATGGAAAAAAATTAAAAAAGAAAAAAATGTAGTTTTTAAGCAAGGAAAGGAAGGTTGCCAAGTGGAGACAAGGGGCGGAGACCATGATGGGATTTAGAACGACCACTCAGTAGGGATGGATTGTCAGGGGAGAATGAGATGGGGACTGGGTGATGGGCTGTCTCAGCCGTCAGTGGAGATGGTGGTGGCCTCACCCAGCTGGGATCTGGGTCTGGAACCAGCAGGATAGATTTTGGTATGAGGCAGCGGGAGGAACTGATGGAACATGGTGATGGCAGCATGAGGGGAGGAGGAGAAATCAACTCATTGATGAGTAGACTCTGAGCACTTCCCATGTGCCAGGCCCCATGCTGGGCATTTCAGTACGGATCCTCATAGGAACTCCCCAGCCACCTGGGGTGATCGGTTTGGGCAACTAAGATAAGGAGTGTGGGGCTTAGTGAAGTTGAAGTCGTGTTCAGGTCTCCTCTGCTGAGCAGCAGGGCCCATGTCTACCCTTGGAATGGTGCCAGGGCTGCTTCTGAGGTAGAGTCAGCAGGCCTTGGGGATGCTTGGGGTAGGGGACGGGGGAGGAGGGGAGATGTCCCTGCCCTTCTCCTGTAAATCGTAGCCCCAGGACTTTCTCATCCAAAGACACCTCCTCTACCCCATGTGATTCACCCCATTCTTAACACTGGACCCATCTCCAGCCTCTTAGAAGGAGCACTAACTTAGGAGTCCACTGGCCCAGGGCTGAACCCCACCTCAGTCCCTTCTAGCTGGCTGCCTGCAAGTCATTTCACCTCGCAGAACTTCAGTCATCCTCCTTAGAAAAATGCTGGTAACAGTTTCATGGTGAGAAGGAAAGAAACTCATGTAAAAGAGGGCAGCACCTAACCCAGCGCCACAGTGATGGCTCAACACACAGATATTAAGGCAGTTTGTTTAACGACCTTAGCCCATATTGAATTTTGCTTAATTGGGGAAATTCTGGGCTGTGGCACGTGGTTGGACTTTGATAAGTGTTTTTAACATGAAAAGAATTGGCCAGGCGTGGTGGCTCACGCCTGGAATCCCAGCACTTTGGGAGGCAGAGGCAGGTGGATTACTTGAGGTCAGGAGTTCAAGACCAGCCTGGCCAACATGGTGAAACCCTGTTTCTACTAAAAATACAACAATTGACCAGGTGCAGTGGCTCACGCCTATAATCCCAGCACTTTGGGAGACCAAAGCAGGTGGATCACAAGGTCAAGAGTTCAAGACCAGCCTGGCCAACATGGTGAAACCCCATCTCTACTAAAAATACAAAAATTAGCGGGGCGTAGTGGTGCACGTCTGTAATCCCAGCTATGTGGGAGGCTGTAGCAGATCAATTGCTTGACCCTGGGAGGCAGAGGTTGCAGTGAGCCAAGATCGCACCACTCTACTCCAGCCCGGGTGACAGAGTGAGACTCCGTCTCAAAAAATAAAAAAACAAACTAATATAAAACAACAATTAGCAGGGCGTGGTGGTGCACACCTTTAGTCCCACCTACCCAGGAGGCTGAGGCAGAAGAGTTGCTTGAACCTGGGAGGCAGAGCTTGCAGTGAGCCAAGATTGCACCACTGCACTCCAGCCTGGGCAACAGAGCGAGACTCTGACTCAAAAAAAAAAAGTAATTCTTACTCATTGGATTTGTCAGTATTGGTGTGTATCCTGCTGCGCCTGCAAACATTGCGGTGTGTCCTGTTTTGGCATCAACAACGGCCCACCTCTGAAACATCTATGACGTCCTCTGCATGTGAGAGTGGTCACTCTTTTTTGGTCAGTAAATTCAGCTCTAAAAATATCACCTGCTTTCCCCACAAATCATCTTCCCTTTGCACCTTGTCAGTGGCTCTGTGCTGTGAAGCTGCCCATCTGTTGGCCAGTTTGCTGTGTGCACATTATCCTCTCTTGGCTTCCCCTCTAGTTGTGGCTGTTTACATAAAGGAATCCTGGTGGTCCACGGAAGATGCAATAAGAACCTCTGATCCGGCAAGAGAAGGGCTGATGAAGGTGAGTCAATGCAATTTTAAATGAACATTGCAAAAGAGGTTTTAAAAGTCACAGCGCTTACTATCCTGTTGATAATTTAAAGCAGTTTAGCCCATGTCTTCGTTTCCTAATACCACAGAGTACCACAAAACAGAAATGCATTGTCTCACAGTTCTGGAGACTAGAAAGTCTGAAATTAAGCAATCCACAGAGTTTTTCTTTTCAGAGCTGTAAAGGAGAATCTGTTCCTGGCTTCTTTGCTAGCTTCTAGTAGCCTCAGGGGTTTCTTGGCTGACCTTTACCTTGTATTTCCACGTTGTTCTCTCTATGTCTGTCTCTGTCAAAATCTTCCTTTTTTTTTTTTTTTTTTTTTAAGAGACAGGGTTTCATCATGTTGGTCAGGCTGGTCTCAAACTCCTGACTCAGGGGATCCACCCACCTCAGCCTCTCAAAGTGTTGGGATTACAGGCGTGCGCCACTGCACCCAGCCTAAAATCCTCCCTTTTTATAAGGACATCAATCATATTGGATTAGAGACCAACTTAATCCCCTCATCTTGATTGATCAGTGGACTGTTTCCAAATAAGGTCATGTTCACACAAGTGGGGGTTAGGACGTCAACAGCTTTTTGAGGGTGACAGTTCAATCCATAACACCCCGCTACCAAGGAAAACAGCACTCAATGCTATATACAACAGATGTCTGGCTATTGATAAATCTATTTTACTTTACTGAGTGGCCCCTCATGTCTACATTTTAAAACTTTAATACACACCATCTCTCTGTTGTATGGGAAACTTCTGCTTAGTGCATTCAGGTAGCGTTTATTGGTACTTAGCATGAGTTAGAATTGTAGATACTATCCTGTATTTTACCTGAGACTCTATAGGGATTATCTAATTTCAGAACCTTCAAGGTATTTGTTTTGTGAGATGAACACATTGAAGCTGAGTCACACAGCTAGTAAGTGATTTAGCTGGGTACAAACATCTGTCTCCTTGACATCGGGCCTGGTGATCTTTGAAGAGCTGTGCCTCTGTTGAGCAGCTGTAAAGCAGAGACCTGGGATGGCAGGCGTGAAGGCAGGAGCCAGAGCAGCTTCTCGGAGGTCCAGGCGGAGTCCTCTTGGCTGAATTTTGGCTGGGGAAGAGGCTAAGGAAGGAGCTAGTACCCAGCTGAGAGTTTGGACTGTGTGCCTCACATATGCCCATTTTCATTTGATTGGTATATTTATCTTAATTCCACATGTGGGAAGAAGGATGTTGCTTCCCTGCTGTCCTGAAATGTGTGATCTCGTTCACAGTTGTCTGAAATCCCATTCGGTCTCCTTCATAGAGCCCTGTAAATACTGAATGAAATATCAGTGTTCTTTCAGGTTGAGTATGGAGGATGGCTAAGAAACAAAATACAATTAAAAGATAAAAAAAGTCAGGACCTAAAGTTCTACAAACAGAGAGAGGAAATAGTTCCAGGCACAACACTTCAAAGATCCCCAGCCTGATGTCAAAGAGATGGAAGTTTGTACCCAGCTACATGACTTGCTGGCTATGTGACTCAGCCTTGATGTCTTCATCTGTACAACAAACACCTTGAAGGTTCTGAAATCAGGTAATCCCTATAAGGGGTCTGGTCTCAGGTAATGTTCCCAAGTTGGTAATCCAGGTTTTTTTTTTCTTTCTTTTTTCTTTTGCTGAGCATATAAAAAAAATTAGTTCTTGATTTTTTTTTTTCTAAACAAGAGCTTCATCAGGATAGAATTCACACATCATAAGCTCCATTCTTTAAAATTATACAATGCAGTGACTTTTAATATATTCACAAAGTTCCATCGCAGTCACCACTAGTGCCAGAACATTTTCATCATTTTAAAAAGAAGCTCTCTACCCATTAGCATCACTCCCCATTCCTATCTTTCCCCAGTCCCTGGAAACCACGAATCTGCTTTCTGTCTCTGTGGATTTGCCTATTCCAGCTACGTCCTATAAATGGAATCATACAACAGGTAGTCTTTTGTAAACAGCCTCTTTAACTTAGCGTAATCTTTTCAGAGTTCATCCATTGTAGCATGCCTCAGTACTTCATTCCTTTTTTGGGCTGAATAATAGTCGATTGTATGGATATCATTTATCATTTATCCATTTTTCGGTTGATAGACATTTGAGTTGTATCTACTTTTTGGCTCTGTTTAATAATACTTCTATGAGCGTTGGTATGTAAGTTTTTGTGAGGATACACATTTTCAGTTCTCTTGGGTATATGTCTAGAAGTGGCATTACTGGTCATGTGGGAACTCTATGTTTCATATATTGAGGAACTGTTCAACTGCCTTCCCAGCAGCTGCACCATTCTGCATTCTCAACAGCAGTGTCTGAGGGTTTCAGTCGCTCCATATGCTCACCAACACTTGTTATTGTCGTTTTAATGTTCTCCATCCTAGTAGCTGTGAAGTGGAATCTCACTGTGGTTTAACTTGCATTTCAGCGATGGCTAAGCATGGTGAGCATCTTTTCATATGCATATTCACCATCTATAGCTCCTCTTTGGGAAATGTCTATGAAGATTCTCGCCCTACTTTTAATTGGGTTATTTGACTTTTTACTATTGAGTTGTGAGAGTTTTTCATATGCAGTATTCTAGACACAAGTTCTTTATCACATATATGATTTGCAATTATTTTTTTCTCATTCTGTGAGTTTTCTTTTTTAGGTCTTCTTTTAATCAATTCAGTAGATATTATTTTGAAAGGGGTTTCTTTCAGTGCATTAGAAATGGCCTGAGATTCAGCAAATGAGAATAATGTGCCCAGTGTAGTGCCTGGCATCTTGGTTTGCGTTGCTGGCCCAGCTCTGGTGCTGCAGGTGGACCAGGTGGCCACTTAAGGATTGACTGTTTTGAATACTACAAAGAATGTGAATGGCTCTTTAAATAATTTTTTTTGGAACAAGAGTTGTTACTCCCTTCATTTGTCATCTCTTCTTCTAATTCTAAATGAGAAAAACCCCACATTTTCTGACAATGTGGCCTATATTACGAACAGAAAGAAACTTGGGTGTTAGTTCCACTTAATGAACCATATTGTAAAGATCTGTCCTTTCCCAGCTGCACATGGGAATATTTCCCCTCTCTGTAGAACTTTAGGTCTTGACTTTTTTTCTTCTTCTTTTAATTACATTTTGTTTCCTAGCCAGCTCTCATCTTCACAAATTACTAAAAAAACTCCACAAGATTTCTTCATGTTTTTCCTGTTAACATAATTAGTGGTCCTAACGAGGGATGTGAACTGGATCTTAGTTTTGTGTTTTCAGAAACATTTCTGAGTCAAAATCACGTCATACGTTTTCCTCCCCCATAATGAAATTGGACAAATGAAGTACATTTTCTTTTTCTCCTTTTTCTCCTGCCAGTTTTTGATTGGATATTTCCCTTCTGCCAGATGCAATCTGCTTTTGTCTTCTGGCTTTCTTCTGAACTTTTTGGTTTCATAAGTTGAAAAATATAACCTCCCCCGTGACACTGATCTGGTTTGGCAACTAGCTGGTTTTTCTTAACGTCTGAACTTGATTTGGCTGCCACTGTCTGAGATACAAAATGTGATGGCTTCTCAGAGCCAAGCTAGTGTGGTTTTCACAAATCTTTTTCTCATTTAAGATTTAGCTCCAGATGAAGGTGAAATATTTTACATTCTGGCCAATTCGTAAGTTTACTGGCACTGAACACTTTGTGCCATTTGCTAGATGGTGCAAGCTGCCTTATTTTTATTGTCAGATCATTTGAAAAACAGGCAAGCATTTTAGATACCACATGAGGGATCTTCTCCCTTGACCAGAGAAAGGAACTGAGACTCAAAGAGGTTGTGAGTTGCTGAAGATCTCCCAGCAGATCCAGGGTAACAGCCTACAAACCACCAGTGACGATAATGATGATGATCATCATCTAAGGGTCAAATATTAAATATAAAATGAAGTATCAATATTTGTATTAAACTTCCCCTTTCCCCAAATCTCATTTCTTTTTTTTTTTTTTTTTTTTTTTTTTTTTTTTTTTTGAGACGGAGTTTCGCTCTTGTTACCCAGGCTGGAGTGCAATGGCGTGATCTCGGCTCACTGCAACCTCCGCCTCCCGGGTTCAGGCAATTCTCCTGCCCCAGCCTTCTGAGTCGCTGGGATTACAGGCACGCGCCACCATGCCCAGCTAATTTTTTGTATTTTTAGTAGACACGGGGTTTCACCATGTTGACCAGGATGGTCTCGATCTCTTGACCTCGTGATCCACCCGCCTCGGCCTCCCACAGTGCTGGGATTACAGGCTTGAGCCACCGCACCCGGCCTATTTCTAATGGATGAATATGAAGAAGGAAAGCACGGGCTGGACTGGAAAGCCGCAGCCTGTTGTTTTGTGCCTGCCTCTGAGAGACCCCTTGCCCAGCTGTCTCAAGTCCTCTTTGAAATGAGGCAGGGAAATCAATAAAGGTAATCACCCTCTTTGAGCTTCAATTTCCCCACCTATGAACCAGGACCTCCCCAGCAGTTGGCGAGACTCAAATGGTAGCTTGTGGGTAGATGTCATGGGCCAGTTAGTGGCATTGTCGATCTGGAGGAATGCATAGGATGGAGTGACAAACACACAGACATGCAGAGGCTGTCACCTACACACACAGAGGTTGTCACCTAGCAGTGTTACCGAGCAAACTCCAATACAGCAGCATTGTCAATTCGTAAATAGCTGATTGGTTTCATCTCGGGCCACATTTTAGCAGTTGCTCATGGCTGTCTGGAGGGCAGTGTTAAGGAGGTTTCTGAGACTGTGTCCATGCTTAGTTGGACAGATAGGTCTGCTCTGAATCCAGGAGCGGGAGATGTTGGTTTCTGCCACCTATTTGCCATCCATGGGCTACACAAATGCAGAGCATTTTAACAGGCAGGAGCGTGAAGTCGTTTTGACTTGTGAAGGGGAAAGCTTCTAACTGTGTGGGCCTGACTTTGACCACAATACGATTTCCTCACTTGTGATGACTTTGCTACAGGCAAGAGACCGTTCTATCTTACAGCCTTAAAACGAGATGTGCTCCGAGTCCCAGTAATTCTCTGGGATTGGGACGCCAGTGTGTGCTCCAAATCTGTCACAAGTCACAAGCCATTGAAAATCGCTTGCCTGGCCGGGCGCGGTGGCTCAAGCCTGTAATCCCAGCACTTTGGGAGGCCGAGGCGGGTGGATCACGAGGTCAAGAGATCGAGACCATCCTGGTCAACATGGTGAAACCCCGTGTCTACTAAAAATACAAAAAATTAGCTGGGCATGGTGGCGCGTGCCTGTAATCCCAGCTACTCAGGAGGCTGGGGCGGGAGAATTGCCTGAACCCAGGAGGCGGAGGTTGTGGTGAGCCGAGATTGCGCCATTGCACTCCAGCCTGGGTAACATGAGTGAAACTCCGTCTCGAAAAAAAAAAAAAGAAAATCGCTTGCTTTTGGTGTAGCAGTTGATCTCCCACATTATTTACTCTCCTTCTGAGGGCCAGAGTTCTGGGGCCTGCCATCATGAAAATGGCAGATTGGGTTTATTTTAGGACACATCTAGCCAGTCAGTTGAAATGGGTTGCTCTGGCTTGCCTGGTTTAATTTCCTGTTTCCTGTTTTGTTGCTGTGTGATGGATTGTGCTTTGTGGTCTCACATTCCTGGTCTGTGGCCCTAGGGACCCAGGGGCCGCCTCTGGCATCGTTCCCCACTCCTGGAGGCCGCATGCTGTGAAAGGCCAGTGATGTGGAAGCCTCTGTGAGTGGCCGTGATTCCCATGTTGGCCCTTTGAGCACGAAAGGACTCTGCGATGGAGGAGCTCACACCTGGCCCCGACATGTGGGTCACATCCAAGCGCAGAATTTATTGCATCTGATTTTCCTCTCTGGTCTTACTTGATTGTTGTTGTTCTTTTTCTTTCTTCAAAGGTTCAGTCATTTGGGGAAAGGATTGTGCTTTTCATTCTAAACGTCATTATTTTTGGAAGATTGGAGAGAAATCTGGATGACGATGACATGTTTTTTCTACCTCACTCTGTGAAGGAGCAAGCCAAAATCATGTGGAGACATGGAGCGGCTGTTGGGTTTTACACAACCAAGATGAAAGGTGAGGGGTGCGCAGCCACTACTTCAGGCTGGGCTGAGTGGGGCTCTCCAGGGGTCTGCCTGCCCCAGAGGGCTCCCTCAGCACCGGCTATGTGGCGAGAATCTTCTAGCACAGGAAGTATCACAGATTAAGTTGGGTGTAAATAAACCTCATGTATGGATTCCATTTCCACCAGATTTCTTGTCTTAGGGGCAAATACGTGAAAAGCATGTCCCTTTGATTTCCAGGTAGTGCCACGTCCTTCCAGAGAAGAACTCATTGCAGTTAATAGTTTAAAATTTCATTTGTTTCCTTCAGTGTTACTCGCTAGTTGTCAGGAAAAATACCTTTGCTAGTAGCTGACACATGGAGCAAAAGCACCTTGGATGCCAAGATTTACAGACATGACCTCAGAAGAAAGGGAGTCCAGCCATGATAACAAGGTTAGGGTGATGTCTGACTTGAAGGGCAGTGATCAACGCTCAGTGTGAGACTAGTACCATTTTGCTAAAGGGATGTGCCTCTTCTTCTTCTTCTTTATTTTTCTTGATTTATGTCACCCAGGCTGGAATACAGTTGGCATGATCATGGCTCACTGCAGCCTCAACTTCACTGGGTTCAGGTGATCCTGCCACTTCAGCCTCCTGAGTAGCTGTGTCTGGCTAATTTTTGGATTATTTTGTAGAGACAGGGTTTTGCCATGTTGCCCAGGCTGGTCTCGAACTTCTGAGCTTAAGTCATCTGCCTGCTTCAACCTCCCAAAGTGCTGGGATTGCAGGTGTGTGCTACTATGCGTGGCCACTGGTCTTCTTCTTTAAACTTGCTGTCTTTCATTCATTGTTTTCTTTTTTTACTTTCTTTTTCTTTCTTTTTTTTTTTTTTTTTTTTTTTTTTCTGAGATGGGATCTCACTTTGTCACCCAGGCTGGAGGGCAGTGGTGTGATCATAGCTCACTGCTGCCTCACATTCTTGGGCTCAAGTGATCCTCCTGCCTCAGCTTCCCAAAGTGCTGGGATTACAGGCATGAACCACCACGCCTTGCCTCTTTCTTTAATTTTTTGCAGACTGTCAACATCTCTCACCTAACTAATTTCAGCCCTATCATTTGGTTGTCAAAAAGTTCTTAATTTTAGCAAGAATTAATCTTCTCAGTAAACTGCCATGGGTGTACTATGAGTTAAGTGTTTTTCTCAGTTGCTAAAGAGGCTGAGTTTTGTTCTGAGCCATGTAAACATTGTGTGTGTGCTTGACCTCTCCAGGATGAGATAAATGTGTGTTTCCCACTTTTTTGTTTTTCCTCAGTGAGATACAGCAGTTTCTCATCCAAACCACTTCTTCGTTTCTTGGTTATTTGCAAAGTCAGTCGTAACTTTTTAGCCCCTGTGTCTTTCAGCTCCGTTCCTTGTGAATGACTTTGCCCTTAGATTTTGATGCCCTTTCACTTTTTTGAATGGTCACATTCTTTTACCATTTAAGGTAGACTAAGGGGCCAGAGAAAAATTAAAATGCAAAGGAGGCCGTTTGAATTCCTCTTTCCTGGGAGACTCCTTAGTGGTCATTGTCTACTAAATGGCTGTTTTTGAATCTGTAACCGAATCATTTGTGGTGCAGACATCCTACTAATAGTTAACAAAAACTGTTAACAGATTCCAGCTCAATGTGTGAAACCACAGGTAGGCAGCAGAGGGAGCTTGACCTTGGTCTTGCCTGGTCCTGCTGCTACTCCTGGAGGCAGTGATACCAAGGCCTCTGATTTTGAGGAGGGGAGCAGGGGTTGTCTGCAACTGCCGTGCTCTTCCCCAGGCAGATTCAGAGCCTTGGAGCAGGTAAAGTACGTAAAGATGCTGAGCTAAGGCAGTTCAGACCAGGTGCTTGAATTCTGCCTCTTCATTTTTGATGAATCCCACAAATTCAGTGAAAAGTACCCTGAAGCTGTTTGTGAGGTCACATTATTGTCATCAATGAACTGGTTTTTGAAGTGGCAATGGACTGTTAGTTACTCAGTAATTTAGTGGTTTTAAAAAGTGTCAAATGGCGGAGTATGGTGGCTCACGCCTGTAATCCCAGCAACTTTGGGAGGCCAAGATGGGCAGATCCCTTGAGCTCAGGAGTTCGAGACCAGCCTGGGCAACAGGGTGAAACCCTGTCTCTACTAAAAATACAAAAATCAGCTGGGCATGGTGGCGCACACCTATGGTCCCAGCTGCTTGGGAGGCGGAGGTGGGAGGATCCCTTGAGCCGAGATCACGCCACTGAACTCCAGCCTGGGTGACGGAGTGAGACTCTGTCTCAAAAAAAAAAAAGGATCAAGCCTCAGGTATTATTTTATAGCAACACGAAATGGACTAATAGAGGTTCCCTTAGTATTTCTTGTAGTCCTATTCTCCTGGGAACAAATTCTACTAATTTTTGTTTACTGAAAATATTTGTCCAACGTTTTAATGGTTGCTGATCTGATGGCTATGAAATGATATCTTATTTTAAAACCTTTCTCCAATTGTTGCTAATGTATAGATTTTTAAGTATTGATTTTGGGTTTGTCAGTATTGCTAAAATCTCCTATTCTATAATTTGTTAGTAGTTTCTTTTGCTTTTTGTTTCTGATTTTTTGTTGTTGTAGTAAAATACAGGTAAAATAAAATGTATCTTACTCATTTTAAGTGTACAGTTCAGTGGTATTAAATATATTGATGATGATGTGTGACCATCACCACCATCCATCTCCAGAACTCGTTCCATATTATTGAATGGAAACTGTTCCCACTAAACAATGACTCTCCATTTCACTCTCTCTCCAAATTCTTGAAACTACCATTTTAGTTTGTGTAAATCTGACGATGTTAGGTGCCTCATATAAGTGGAATCACCCAGTATTTTTCCTTCTGTGACTGGCTTATTTCACTTAGCATAATGTCCACCATTTTCATCTGTGTTATAGCATGTATCAGAATTTCCTTCCTTTTTTAAGGCTGAATAATATTCCATTGTATGTATATGCCACATTTTGCTTGTTGATTCATTTGTCAGTGGACATTTGGATTGCATTCGTGTTGTAGCTCTTGTGAATAATGTTGCTGTAAACATGGATATACAAATATCTCTTTGAAACTCTGCTTTAGGTATATGCTCAGAAGTGGAATTAGAGGATCATGTGGTAATTCTAGGTTTCATTGTCTGAGGAACTGCCACACTGTTTCCCATGGTGGCTGTAACATCTTACATTCTTACCAACAGTGCACAAGGGTTTTAATTTCTCCCCATTTTTGCTAACACTTATTTTTTTATAGTATCATCCTAATGGATGTGAAGTGGTATCTCGCAGTCTTGATTTGCATTTCCCTAATGATTACTGAGCATGTTTATATGTACTTATTGGCCATTTGTATATCTTCTTTGGAGGAGTGTTTATTCAAGTTCTTTGCCTATTTTTTTCTTGGTTGTGTGTGTGTATGTATTTTAAATGTTAAAAAAATACAAATAAATACATAAAAATATTTATTTGTATTAGCTATTCCATAATCTAAACATATTTTAAGACATCATGTTGTATACCAAAGATGAGTACAATATTTACCTGTCAATTTAAAATATATAAATTTTAAAAATACTCATATTTGAATTGTAAATTGGTTGTATGTATGTAATTTAAACATTTAAAAATACATACAAATAAATATATAAAATATGTACAATATATTTATTTATATTAGCTATTCCATAATCTATACATATTTCAAAACATCATATTGTATACTAAAGATATATACAATATTTACATGTCAATTTAAAAGATATAAATTTTAAAAATACTTAAAAATATATTTGAATTGTGAATTTGTCTCAAATTCATACAAAGCAAAATGGTGGTTTCAAGAACTAGAGGGAGAGGGAAACAGGGAGTTATTGTTTAACGGGCACAGAGTTTCCATTTATAATGTGGAAAGAGGTCTGGACACGGATGGTGATGATGGTTACATAGCATCATTCATATTTAAAGATTTTTAAATTGACAGATTCAATAGTGTATATATTTTTTGGTGTACGACATGGATTTCCTTACAATGGGCTTCATCTTTCTCTGATGCCTCCCTGATAAGCTTAATAACTAACCTCCTAAATTCTTTTTCAGGTAAATCAGGGATTTCTTCTTTGTTTGGGTCCATTGCTGGTGAACTAGTGTAATTTTTTTAAAGGTGTTAAAGAACCTTGTTTTGTCATATTACCAGAGTTGGTTTTCTGTCTCCTTCTCCTTTGGGTAGGTTCTGTCAGAGGAAGGGCTAAGGCTGAAGGCTTCTTTTGTTCCACGGGGTGTTTCCTTGATGTAGCACTCTCCCCCTATTCCTACGATGTGGCTTCCTGAAAGCTGAGCTGTAGTGATCATTATCTCTCTTCTGGATCTAGCCACTCAGCAATTCTACCAGGCTCTGGCTGGTACTGGGGGTTGTCTACACAGAGTTCTGTGATGTGAACCATCTGTGGGTCTCTCAGTCGTAGATACCAACACAGTATTTGGGGTGTCTCCTGGGTCCTGCAGGAGCAATCCACTTCCTTCAGGGAGTCTGTGGGTCCTCTCAGGTTTCCTGATTTATTTCTGCAGTTGTTCTGTAGCAAAAAGTAACAGTGTGAGCCTCCACATGCTGCTCTGTCTGTCCCAGTCAGAGCTGTGATCTAGTCCTGCCTCTCATCTGCCATGATTCCCATTGGTGTCTTTTGAAACAGTTTAAAACATTGATGAAGCTAGGTTTGTCAAAATTGATTGTGTTTTTGGTGTTGAATCTAAGAACTCTTTGCCTAACCCAAGGTTGGGAAGATTTTTACTTTTTCTTTTTCTAAAAGCTTTGTAGTTTTAGCTCTTATATTCATGTCCATGATCCCTTTTGAATTATTTTATATTGTATATGACGTAAAGTAAGGGTCCAACCTCATTTTATAAAATCCTAATACATTTAAAAATATGAATAGGCTTTATTTTAAGAATAGTTTTTAGATTTATAGAAAAATTGAGGGGGCAAGTACACAGTTCCTCTGTTTCCCCTCCCCCAACAATTTTCTCTATTAACATATTGCATTAGTGTGGTACGTTTGTTGCAATTGATGAACCAATATTGATATATACATTAGTTTTCTAGGGCCTCCATAACAAAATACCACAGACTGGGTGGCTTAAACTAGGGGTCCCCAGGCCCCAGGCCATGGGCCGGTACCAGTCTGTAGCCTATTAGGAACTGGGCTGCACAGCAGGAGGTGAGTGCTGGGTGAGTGAGCGAAGCTTCATTTGTATTTACAGTTGCTCCCATTGCTCATGTTACCACCTGAGCTGAGCCTCCTGTCAGATCAGTAGTGGTATTGCATTCTCATAAGAGCACGGACCCTATTATGAACTGTGCATGTGAGGGATCTAGGTTGCTCCCTCTTTTTGAGAGTCTAAAGCCTGATGATCTGTCATGCTCTCCCATCATCCCCAGATGGGACCATCTAGTTGCAAGAAAACAAGCTCAGGGCTCCCACTGATTCTACATTATGATGAGTGTATACTTATTTCATTATATATTACAATGTAATAATAGAAATAAAGTGCACAATAAATGTAATGCACTTTAATCATCCTGAAACCATCTTCTCCCCTTCCTGGTCCATGGAAAAACTGTCTTCCATGAAACTGGTTCCTGATGCCAAAAAGGTTGGGGACCGCTGACTTAAACAACAGAAACTAATTTTCTCACAGTTAGGGAGAGGCTGTAAGAAAGGTCAAGGTGTCAGAAGCTTGTTTTCCTCCGAGGCCTCTCTCCTTGGCTTGCAGATGGCTGCCTTCTCATTATGTCCATACTTGGTCTTTTCTCTACTTGAGTATTGCTGGTGTCTTCCTGGGTATCCAAACTTCTTCTTACAGAGACACTAGTCAGGTTGGACTAGTGCACACCCTAATGGCCTTGTTTTAGCTTCGTGACTTATTTTAAAGGTCTTATCTCCAAAGATAGCCACCTTCTGAGGTTTTGGGGGTTTGTGAATGTTGGAAACACACGGTTCAGCCTATAAGAATAGATGATTATTAACTGAAGTCCATAGTTTACATCAGGGCTCACCCCATATTGTACCATCTGTGGGATGTGACAAATATTTAATGGCATGTGTCCACTGTTCTAGTATCACACAGAGTAGTTTCACTGCCTAAAAATCCTCTGTGCTCTGCCTATTCATCCTTCCTACTCCCAGCCCTTGTAACCACAGATATAAGATTTTTTTTTTTTTTGGTGGGACCCAGTCTTACTCTGTCACCCAGGCTGGAGTGCAGTAACACGATGTCAGCTCACTGCAACCCCCACCTCCCCAGATCATGCAGCTCTCATGTCTCAGCCTCCCAAGTAGCTGGGACTACAGGCAAGAGCCACCACAGCTGGCTCATTTTTTGTATTTTTAGTATTTTTTTTTTGAAGGAAAATTTGCATTAATTATTTTTATTTACAGAAACAGTGTATATTTAACCCAGTTTCATGGCAAGTTCTTTAGCCTTTGCCTTTTCTAGCTTGGCAATGCAAGCCACAGACTTGGGACCCAGGACATTACCTCCCCAGTGACGGCGGGTCTCATCCTATCTGCCATTGTAGTTGGTGCGGATAGCTTCCACCAGGTTAGCCAAAGCACCTTTGTCTTCCAAGTTAACCTGTGTGAAGGCGACAGTGGTGCAGGTCTTCCTGTGGACTAGACGTCCCAGTCTTGCCTTCCCCTTGATAATGCAGTAAGGGACTCCCATTTTACGACAGAGGGCAGGCAAGAAGACAACCAGCTCAATGGGATCCACGTCATGTGCAGTCACCACCAGCTGAGCTTTCTTGTTCTCCACCAAGGTGGTGACGGTGTTAACTCCTGCTCAAAGGACAGGTGGTCTCTTAGTGGGGACGTCCCCTTTGCCAGCTGCTTTCTTCTCGGCCCGGGCCAACAGCCTCTGCTTCTTTTCTTGCTTCATCTCTGGTCTATACTTGTGGGCCAGCTTAAGCAGCTGAGTAGCTGTTTGGCGGTCCAGGGCCTGGGTGAACTGGTTAATTGCAGGAGGCACTTTCAGCTGCTTACAGAGGATGGCTCTCTGCCACTGCAACCTGATGTAGCGGGGCCATTTCACAAAGCAGGTGAGGTCTCTTTTGGGCTGGATGTCTTGTCCAATACCAAAATTTTTAGTCCTTTTCTCAAATAGTGGATTCACCACTTTCTTGGCCTCCTGCTTCTTCATGACAGCAGGGGCCGGAGCCACCTTCTTCCCCTTGGCCTTCTTTCCTTTTGGCATCTTGGGCAGCGGGAAGAGCGTATTTTTTGTATTTCTGAGGAATGCATTGTTAAGCGTTTGCATCATTGTGTGAACATGATCGGATGTTCCTATAAGACTCAGTGGCAGAGCCTGCTACACACCTAGGCTGTAGAGTATGGCCTGTCATCTCTAGGCCACAAACCTGTACAGCTTGTTACTCTACTGGTTACTAGAGGTGATTGTAACATAATGGTAAGTATTTGTCTATCTAAACTGGTGCTTAGTTGTAGAATTACAAAGAGGATTTTGATAGAGCTAGCACTGAGTTTACAGATCATTTTGGGAAGAATTATCTTATTAATTGAGTCATCCAATCTATGAACATGGAATTTATCTTCATTTATTTAGATCTTCCTTAATTTCTCTCAACAATGTCTGGTAGTTTTCGGTGTACAAGACAATTCTTTTCTTAAACATACTCTTAATTATTTACTTCTTTTAAAATACCATTGTAAATGAAATTGCATCTTTATTTAATATTAAGCCTTTTTAGTTTTGGAAGATTTCACTATTACAAGAACACTGCTCTCATCTTCTATATATTGAAATAATATAATTACAAGCAAGTTGCTTCTCTCATCTCAAGTGCATCGAGGTTGAAATCCTAAATATTTTATAGTTACTGTCTCAAGAGAAATGAGTCTCTTTATTCACCACAGATAATTTATTTTTAAATTCATTTTTGGTATGAAATAGTAAGCTTATTTAGCTAACAATTCTTTTGGTTGGCATTTTAGGATGAGCTCAGCTGGGTGGTTTTCTAGTCTAGGTGGGCTTTTCGTGTATTCATGGTGACCTGCTTGTTAGGTGGCTCTGCTGCTTGGGGCTGGCTAGACATTGGCTGGGATCGCAGTAGTGCCTGGGCCATATTCCTTTCAGGTAGTGGGCTACCTTGGGCTTGCTTTTGTGGTGTGTTGCAGGGATCCTAGAGGGAACACAGGTGCAGCATACCCCAGGAGGCCTAGGATTAGGGTGGTGGTGCTGTCACTCTGCCTCATTCTGTTGACCAAAGTGAATCACAAGGCCAGCTGGAATTGAAGGTGAGGGGAAATTGATCCCATCTCTTGATGGGAGGAGCTTCAAAATCAGTTGCAAAGGGGCATGGACATAGGAAGGAAGTAATCGTGGCCATTTTTGCAAACAGTTCACTATGGCAGGTGTATCTTTGCGGTTCGATCTGGCTGGTTAGAATCTGAGTCATTTTTGTTTGTTTGTTTGGGAAATTACCCACTTCTGAATCTCGGGAGGGACAAATACCACTGCTTCCAACAGGAGCTGAAAATGCTCCATATTTGTTTTCTTCTAACATTGCATGTAGGGCATGGGCACCTGTGCAGTTTAGAGGTGAGGAAGGCGAGCTGGTAAGCTCAGTGTGGAATTGGAGTTCTGGTTACAGTGTTGACAGAGGTGCCTGGCTGAAAGGCCATGTTCTCATTGGAGAAATGGCAACTGTGCTGGTGTTGACTATGGTTGCAATATGGTTAAGCTGTGGGTAAAAAGTTGGGAGGGTGCCTGTTGTCACCTCTCTTGTTCTGCTGTAGTAGGGCCATCAATATTTCATGAGAAGTAGGGCCTGATGCTGCATCTATTTGGAGTAAGTGCATTTTGCTATAATTGGACATAGTGAGCCCTTGCTAGTGTTACTGAAACAAGTCCGTACCCTAGAGATGGGTCGAATTGGTCTCTTCAGGTTTCACTTCTGCAGGGAGACAGTTGATGTTGCCAGGTTTGCTCCAAGAGTCTCATTGAACCATGTGCAGTGAAGGGAGGAATCTGAGGAGGGTGCTGCATGAGTGCCCTCACTCTGTATCGTCTCCCAGGTTCACCTTTCATTTCAGCCCAGTGGTCTAATATCATGTGAGTTTTTCAAGAATACTGATCAGTCACCTGGAGAATGATCTGCTATTTTAGCCTCACTTGTTTAGCTTGTAAAACTGATCATGTTTCCATGAGGTACCCATGACTCTGGCTGTGCAGGGGCCCTGCAGGGTCCTGGTGGGTCAGCCACGAGCCCAGGGGACAGTGTGTGTCTCTTTCTTTCCCTGCAGGCAGCCTGTGTGGCAGTGGCACAGGTGTGTGCTACCTGCTACCTGTCTTTGACACCGTGTTTGTCAGGAGGAAACACCGGCGCCAAGGCCTGGGAACGGCCATGCTGCGGGATTTCTGTGAGACATTCCCAGATGACGAGGCCCTGGGGGTCAGCTACCCAATGTCCCCTGCTATGTACCAAGGTAAACCCCCCTTGAATTGTACTGAAGCGTATGGCGATGGATAACACACATGCATTCCAGGGGATTCTGGAGGCAGAGGCCCTGGGGAGCCCTCGTGGGCAGATGCAGGCCTCGGCGGGGCAGCACGCACGTGGGGGTTTCCTTCCCTCTGAGAAATCTCCAATTACTGCAGCACAAGCTGAGACTTCATGTTTGATCACAAGTAGTGAACTTCTCCCAAGCTGGAAAATAATTGGATTCAGAAACAATCACAAACAAATCAATGAGCTCAGAGAGGAGGGAATCCGGGGAGCTGCCGCCATGCTGTGGGCTGCAGGGCTTTGGAGTGCCTTTGCTCTTCCACTTGACACCTGTAGTTCCTCACTTTGTCCTTTGAACTTGAAGCCACGGGAGAGCCCAAGAGCTGAAGGGAAGGCAGGAACTGGGTGGAAGGGCAAGCTCTGAATGGGCTCAGCTTTCCAGCACCTCCGTAGCTCTCTACGCACAAGACGCCTCCCTCCCATATCCTTTATCCACGTTTGCCAGAGGAGGATGAAACAGCTCTGATGTGAAACATCACACCCTAAGGTGACGAGGGTGGGAGGCTCTGGAGAGCCTGTCTCTGAGCCCCCCCTCCCCTGTGAAGCACACACACCCTACTTTGTGCCCTGCCTCTGTTCTGGGTGTGTAGCTGTTTTTGAATGCTTAGTATCCAGTTTCTGGTGTCTTTTTGGCTCAAGGGTTAGGAGAGAACAGTTAGGAAAAGCCAGGAAGCTTCTGTTGCTGTGAAGTCATAAAGAAAAGCAGGTAAAAACATCGTTTTCCTCAAGTGGGTCTGCTTGTTTCTATGTATTTTCAAACTCAGTCTGTTGTTAAACTCTGAAGAGCCTTGGATTTCTGCAAAGAGCACTTGAGGCTTCTTGCACCGTGTAGCTCACTTTCAGGTGCTGGAGCATTCGGGGGCCTAGGTAGCTGGTCCTCTGTCCAAACCCATGTCCTTCCAGTCCCTCTCCTCCTCCTCTTTTTTTGAGACGGAGTCTCACTCTGTTGCCAGGCTGGAGTGCAGTGGTGCAATCTCTGCTCACTGCAACCTCCACCTCCTAGGTTCAAGCAATTCTCATGCCTCAGCCTCCCAAGTAGCTGGGACTACAGGCACACACCACCACATCCAGCTAATTTTCATATTTTTAGTAGAGATGGGGTTTCACCATGTTGGCCAGGATGGTCTTGATCTCCTGACCTCGTGATCCGCCTGCCTCAGCCTCCCAAAGTACTGGGATTATAGGTGTGAGCCATCATGCCTGGCCCCTCTCCTCTTTCTTGCTTCAGGTACAGACCACCTCCTGGTTTTAGGAGGCTTTGCCGAGGGAGTGGGAGAGAGTGCTTTACTCAAAGGAACAGTGGGCTCCAAGGTTAAGAGCTGGACTGCTGAGCCTGGGTCAGCCTTGCTAAGACCCTGTAGGGCCCTGTGCTCCCTGCTGTCCCTCCACTGTCTTCGCCTGCAAAGAAAGTTCTGAATAGGCTGATTCTGACTCATGCTACTGCTCTCTGGGCTTCAGCCACCCAGGTTTCTATTGAGTTCTGTGGTGCCTTCCGACTGGACAGGACAGGACAGACTCCTGCCCTGGGCCCCACGCTTTGAACTCTCTTTCAGCTGCATCTCCCTCTGCGGGGGCAAAGATTCCATGAGCCCAAGAGGAGGTGCCCTCCTGGCCCACACTGCTCCTCCTAAACTGGCTCAGGGTACCAGGACCCCAGGATTCCTGCCAGTGGCCACTGTGGGGCTGAGTGGACGTCATCCCTGAGTCTGTGCTCATGAGGGTGATCATGCCACCAATTTGTACATCCTTAGAGCCCAGGGAGGATCTTGGGGGGCTGTGGACAGTGTGTGGGAAGGCGGCCACATTTCTACTCACAGGCCTCTTAGGTATCTATCGGGGGCTGGGGTGGGTGGAGAAGGGGGTGGACTGCTGGCTGGGGGCCAGCTCGCTTGGTATTGCCACATACTGGTGCAATGCTCCAAGGAGTCCAAGAATTCTAAATTTGAAACGAGCTTCTCCTGTTGTTAGGAAGTTATATTTGTCAAGATAGGAGGGCAGAGCGTGTCATATATAGCGCTTTGCTAACTTGGTTTGTACCTTTGGAAGACAGGCATTCCTCATTTCACTGCTCTTCCCTTGATTGCACTTTGCAGATGCTGTGTGTTTTATATTGTGAAGGCTGTGGCAGCCCTGCTTCGAGCAAGTCTTCTATCAGGGACACTTTTCCAACAGCATGGGCTCGCTTCATGTCTCTGTGTCAGATTTTGGTAATTTTCAGAATATTTCAAACTTCTTTATTATTATTGTATCTGTCCTGGTGATCTGTGATCAGTGATATTCGACATTACTGTCATAATTGTTTTGGGGCACCCCAAACCATGCCCATGAAAGTCAGTGAACTCAATTAATGCATGAGCCTGTTCTGACTCTGCTAGTGACCAGCTGTTCCTTCCTTTTCTTCCTGTTCCTTGAGATACAATAATATTGAAATTAGGTCGACTAATAGCCCTACAATGGCCTCTGAATGTTCAAGTGAACAGAAGAGTCACATGTCTTTCACTTTAAATCAAAAGCTAGAAATGACTAAGCAAGGAAGGCATGTCAAAGGCTGAGGTAGACTGAACACTAGGCTTCTGGCACTAGCTGGCCAAGATGTAAATACAAAGGAAGAATTCTTGAAGGGAATGGAAAGTTCTACTCCTGTGAACACACAAATCATAAGCACGTAAAGCAGCCTTACTGCTCACAGGGAGAAAGTTTTAGTGGTCTGATAAAAGTTCAAGCCGGCCACAACATTGCCTTAAGTCAAAGCCTAACCCAGAGCAAGTCTCTGACTCTCTTCCATTCTGGGAAGGCTGAGAGATTTGAGGAAGCTGCAGAAGAAAAGTTTGAAGCTAGCAGAGATTGGCTGATGACGTTTGAGGGAAGACATCATCTCCATAACATAAAAGTGCAAGGTGAAGCAGCAATTGCTGATGCAGAAGCTACAAAATTTACCCAGAAGATCTAGCCAAGAATGTTGGTAAAGGTGGCTGCACTACACAACAGATTTTCAATGTAGGTGAAACAGCCTTCTACTGGAAGAAGATGGCATCCAGGACTTTCATAGCTAGAGAGGAGAAGTCAGTGCCTGGCCTCAAAGCTTCAAAGGACAGGTTGAGTCTCTTGTTAGGGGCTGATGTAGCTGGTAGCCTTCAGTTGAAGTCCACACTCATTTACTCATCTGAAAATCCTAAGGTCCTTAAGAATAATGCCAAATTGGCCAGATGTGGTGGCTCACATCTATAATCCCAGCACTTTGGGAGACTGAGGCTGGTGGATCATGAAGTCAGAAGTTCAAGACTAGCCTGACCAACATGGTGAAACCACCTCTCTACTAAAAATACAAAAATTAGCTGGGCATAGTGGCATGTACCTGTAGTCCCAGCTATTCAGGAAGCCGAGTCAGGAGAATCGCTTGAACCTGGGAGGCAGAGGCTGCAGTGAGCTGAGATCATGCCATGTCACTCCAGCCTGGGTGACAGCAGGACTCCATCTCAAAAGAAAAAAAAAAGAAGTATGCCAAATCTATTCTGTCTGTCCTCTAGAAATGGAAAAACAGTGCCTGGATGACAGCACATCTGTTTACAGCATGGTTCAGTGAATAATTTAAGCCCGCAGTTGAGACCTACTGCTCAACTGTGGGCTTAAATTATTCACTAAACCGTGCTTTCAAAATATTACTGCTCATTGACAATGTACCTGGTTATCCAAGAGTTCTGATGGACATAGACAAAGAGATTAATGTTGTTTCCATGCCTGCTAACATAATATCCATTCTGCAGCCTGTGGATCAAGGAATAAATTCAGCTTTCAAGTCTTATATAAGAAATACACTTTCTAAGCCTATAGCTTCCACAGGTAGTGATTCCTCTGATGGATCTGGGTAAAGTACATTGAAAACCTTTTGGAAAGGATTCACCATTCTAGATGCCATTAAGAACATTTGTGATTCCTGGAAGGTCAAAATATCCACATACACAGGAGTATGGAAGAAGTTGATTCCAAACCTCATGTATGACTTTGAGGGAGGAGTCCAAGACTTCAGCAAAGGAAGTCACTGCAGATGTAGTGGAAATAAAAAGAGAACTAGAATCGGAAGTGGAGCCTGAAGATGGGACTGAATTACTGCCATCTCATGATCAAACTTGAACAGTTGAGAAGTTGCTTCTTATGGATGAGCAAAGGAAGTGGGTCCTCGAGTTGGAATCTCCTCCTGTTGAAGATGCTGTGGACATTGCTGAAATGACAACAAAGGATTTGGAATATTCCATAAATTAGTTGATAAAGCAGCAGCAGCAGCAGCAGCAGGGTTTGAGAAGATGGACTCCAATTTTGAAAGAAGTTCTATTGTGGGTAAAATGCTATCAAACAGCATCACATGTTGCAGAGAAATCTGTTGTGAAAGGAAGAATCAAATTGGTGGAAGAAACTTCATTGCTGTGTTATTTTAAGAAACTGCCACAGCAACCCCAGCCTTCAGCAACTGCCACCCTGAGAGGCCATCAACTTTGAGACAAGACCCTCCACCAGCCTAAAGATTATGACTCAGAAGGCTCAGATGATCACTACTGTTGTTTAGCATTAAAGTATATTTTATTTAATTAAGGTATGTACATTGTAGTTTTTAGACAAAATGGTATTGCAGGCTTACTAGACTGTAGCATAGTATAAACATAACTTTTATATGTATGCACTAGGAAACCAAAAAATTCACGTGACTTGCTTTACTGTGATATTTGCTTTATTGCGGTAGTCTGGGACAGAACACACAGTATCTCTGAGGTCTGCCTGCACTTAGCATTGTACTCTTTAGGTTTCCATCTGTGCTGTTTCCCAGGGACCCCAAAATGTTAGGAAGCGGGTTTAATGGAGTCCCCATGGGTATCTGCAGAACCAGGAGCAGTTTCTCATTCACCTGGATTCGGGACATTGCCATGTGAAAATGTTCACCCATGAATGCAGGCGTAAAAGTCTGGGAACCTTGAGTGGACTCTGGAATCCAGGAGGGAGCAGAGGATAAGCCTGAAGGTTCTTTGGGAGGGAGGAAGGACGGTGCATGAAGAGTGGCCAACATGGATGGTGCTGTGGACTAAGTTGTGCCCCCCACCCAAATTCATATGTTGAAGCCCTTGATATGACCACATTTGGAGATAGGACCTTTAAAAAGCTAATTAAAAGGCTGGGTGTGGTGGCTCATGCCTGTAATCCCAGCCTGACCCATGTGGAGAAACCCCATCTGTACTAAAAATACAAAAATTCGCCGAGTGTGGTGACACATGCCTCTAATCCCAGCTACTTGGGAGGCTGAGGCAGAAGAATCGCTTGAACCTGGGAGGTGGAGGTTGTGGTGAGCCAAGATTGCACCATTGCATTTCAGCCTGGGCAAGAAGAGCGAAACTCTGTCTCAAAAAAAAGGCTAATTAAGGTTGAATGAGGTCCTAAGGGTGAGCCCCTAGTCCAGTATGACTGGTGTCCTTGTAAGAAGAGAGGGACCAGGATGAACCCAAATAGAAACAGCTGTGTGAGGACACAGGGAGAAAATGGCCATTCATAAGCCAAGGAGAGAGGCCTCAGGAGAAACCAAGCCTGGGCCACCTTGATCTTGAATGTCCAGCCTCCAGGATTGTGAGAAATAAATTTCTGTTGTTTAAACCAGTGGTCCCCAACCTTTTTGGCTCTAGGGAAGACAGTTTTTCCACGGGTGGGGCAGGGACAAGGGGTTGGTTTCAGGGTGATTTAAGTACATTACATGTATTTCTTGTGTACTTTATTTCTATTGTTATTACATTGTAATATGTAATGAAATGGTTATATGGCTCACCATCATGGAGAATCGGTGGGAGCCCCAAGCTTGTTTTCCATGTCCCATCTAGGGGTGATGGGAGATAGTGACAGATCATCAGGCATTAGATTCTCATAAGGAGCATGCAACCTGGATCCTGCACATGCCCAGTTCACAATAGGGTTCATGCTCCTATGAGAATCTAATGCAGCTGCTGGTCTGACAGGAGGACTTTTTCAGGTGGTAATGTGAGCACTGGGAGCAGCTGTACATACAGATGAAGCTTTGCTCGCTTGCCCGCTGTTCAGCTCCTGCTGTGTGTTTTGGCACTGGTCGGTGGCCCAGGGCTTGGGGAGCCCTGGTTTAAACCACACAGTCTGCAGTTTTTTGTTATAAAAACCCTAGTAAATGAATGCAGATGAGAGGGCTTGTGGGAAGTAGAAAAGTTCCTTTTTAAAGTTTCCTTTCTTGTTAAATAATAAGTGTGCTAATAACTTTGTTAAGCCCTATCCTATGTAGCTGTTAGACATGCCATGCTTATAGGCACATAGTACACTCTATGTCCTTGTACTTTAATCAAGATATCTGTGCTGGACGTGCTCACAGGCTCGTCCCAGCTCTCCACTGGTTTAACCTGTTCAGAAAGTTTTACGTTGTTAGCCAGTCGGGTTTTAGTTTAGATTGTGAGGTCTGGCTCCAGCCAATGAAGATCAGACACAGCAGTAAGGATGACCCCAAATGCGTAAGGGATACATTTGTGTGTTTTTCTTTGTTCGCTGCACTCTCGTGGCAAGATGGCTAGTGACAGTACCCATCCTGCAGTCCAGGAAGTAAAAATTGCGTTGCCGAAATTGTGTTTCAGTCTGACTTATAGTCTGGAAGTCTGTAAGATCCTTTGTCTCAGTGCTGATTTTTCTTTGTGGCATCAAGCACCTATTTCCAACATCTACCTCCAACAGGGGCAGAGATGAGAGATCCTTACCAGGAGGAGCTGGGAGTTGGATGTGTCCATGGTAGGCAGATGAAAAAGTGGTTTGAGTGCAGCAGGGATTCCAGCAGAGAGTGGGGGTGGTGGGGGTAGTGGAGGGCTGCTTGAGAAGGACTGGAGTGGGCCATGTCTGAGACCCAGAGAGTTGGTACAGAGTGAACCAGAGTTAGGTGGGGGACTTCCTGACTCACGCTGCGTTCCTTCCTCCCAGTCTGTAGGCAGTTCCTGCTGGTCTGTCCAGAAGAGCGAGGGCGTTTGTGGGAGGTGAAGCCCCCAGGGGCCTGGGGCCAGCGCATCAACATCTGGCTAAAGGTTCAGCTTCAGCCAAGACTTCCAGACTGTAAGTCAGACTGAAACACTGCCCTGCATCTGTCTAGTTACTTCTAGTGTCAACACTAGCATGGATTAATTTACGGTGATCTTTTTTTTTTTTTTTTTGAGATGGAGTGTCACTCTATTGCCCAGGCTGGAGTGCTGTGGCACTATCTCGGCTCACTGAAACCTCTGCTGCCCAGGTTCAAGCAATTGTCCTGCCTCAGCCTCCTGAGTAGCTAGGATTACAGGTGCCTGCCACTGTGCCCAGCTAATTTTTGTATTTTTAGTAGAGACAAGGTTTCACCCTCTTGGCCAGGCTGGTCTTGAACTTTTGACCTCGTGATCCACCTGCCTTGGCCTCCCAAAGTGCTGGGATTACAGGGCAAGCCACCTCACCTGACCCCCAAGTCGCTGTTTTGATGGTGCACTTTCCACTTCTCTCAAGTGGGGAAGGGCTGCCCACGGCAAGCGCTTCTCAGCTCAGTGATAAGAGGTGAGGCCAGGCCAGGGCTGGGGCAGCGGACGCCTCCAGGCTGCAGGTGCTGCTGTGGGTGGGAGATGAGGGGGACAGTTAATTTAAATTAACTGTCCAAAATGAAAGCCCCAGCTCTCCTTCCTTCTTGGAGTGGGTGCTCCCATCAGCATCGAATCACATTTGTGCAGCTGCAGGTGGCTCATTAGGGGTTGACGGGCAGCCAAGGTGCCAGGCTTTCTCTCCACATGCTGACTGATCCACCTTAGCTGTTGACAGGTGAGAGTGCCTTGGAGTTTATTGATGATAATAGTGATCGGTTTTGCATTTATGCTGGAAGGCTTAATGGATCTTAACAGATATTAATGGGGTGACCAAGCACCAGGGAAGGAGGCCTGGCAGGACGGAGCTGAGCTGTGATCCTAATGAGGAGGTTAAGTGACTTGCCCTGTGGCGCTGAGTTAGGAATGAAGGGAAGCGGGTCGGGTCTCTGGGCACCGAGCTGTCCCTCCATGAGGGTTTATGGACACACTACACAAATGAAGCTGTGGGGCCTCACGCAGCCTCTGTGCTTGGACGTTTCAATCCCTTGGCTGGGAATGGAGAAGAAAAATGCATTGCATATTGGAATGTGGATATCTCACAGGCCAGAGGGGTGAGCAGGGGCGAGGACTTTTTCTCCTAATTGGGGAGATGCCTCCTCCCAGCTAATCCCATTGGGGCTGTTTCAAGAGCTGGGAGTCAGTGTGGTCTGGGCAGAGGAAACTGAGCTGGAAGTCAGACGCCAAGCCTGTCATTTTAATTCACTTTGAGATTCACCAACTCTTGTTCTAAAACAGCAAATGAGGGGACTTGCACAGAGAATGTTCCAGAAGCATGCTTGAGTCCCTTGAAGGAAGAAGGGCCATCTTTATAATTAGGATATAAATAGATTACTAAAACTCTTTAGTTAAAAAAAAAATTCGAAGCTATGGTCTTTTCATTGCCTGTATACATCATGGCTAGTTCTCAGATTCAGCCACATCTTCTTTTTCCCCAAGTGCCCGCAGTCAGGATTTTAATTCACTCAGGAAGGTTTTCAGCCAGCCAGCTTCAGCTCGCAACCATTATGACAGTGCTGACATCTCAGGTTTTTTTCAAGTTGGTGAGCTGGGGCTGCAAATGTGATCACAGATTAGCTCGGTGCTCTGCAGTTTCTCATCTGTTTCTCTCTTAGAAATCAGCAAGTGTTAGTGGATTAGAACTTCTTACAGGCCACCGAACAATGCAGATTCTGGAAGCTTCTCTTTCCTGGGAATCTCACTAGGCTATCAATTGAATGTTAGTCTTAAATTAGTCGGTGATTCTTAGAGTTGCTTTCTTGACTTGTTCTCTTTTTTCAAGTTTTATCTGTTCTCCCTTCTTTTCCCTGACAGTTATTTTGGAGGTATCCTATAATTTTATGTGCCATAGAAATAGAACTGTAAGCAAGAAGCCCAGTGGAATCAATTGCTTCTTGCTCTAAATAAGGCATGAACATTTCACAACATTTCAAAGGGAAATTAACTTGTGCTCCTTGCAAATGTTTTAAAGACTATTTCTGAAGCAGCCTGATTGGTGGGCCAGGTCTTTAAAAGTTTGTGCCATCTTGGCTGTTGATAACATCTGTGGCTTATAATGGGCCCTGAAAATATTTACAGATTATTCAGACCTTTTGAGAGAAGGAGTTTGTGGGAAATTTCTTTCTTCTTACACTCAGTCACAGACAAAGCCTTTGAAACTTGACCAAGAGGATCATAATTCCATCTGATGTGATTTCCCGGTCAGTCTGAACATGCCTTAAGTTTCTTTACCAGAGAGCGTGAAACTGAATATGTCAACAGTGAAATTTTCTTTTACAAAATTGTTACTGGGGGCAGGAAATAATTGACCACTGCTTAAAAAATTAATTTTTTTTAATCTATAGGTCATAGTTTTGCTTTCTTTCTCCAGATGATTTTTTAATGGATTCAGTCATCATCCGCAGGGAAAATACTTTTATCTGCATTTAGTTTTTAAACCAGAAGGATCTTTGCATCAAGAGATGTGAAAATACGAGATAAGAAGCGGGGGCCACTTTTCTGAAAGTTTGATGCCCAGCAAACTGCAGTTCTGACCTTTTTTCAGTTTTGCTGAGTCATATGTTAATGAGTACAATAGCAACGTGGTGGTGCAGCGTGCTGGGGGCAAAACCACCGTACTGGGTGTGTTTTTTTCTGTCGAATTCTGCTCTTTGACAGGTTATATGGCTCCTCTTAGTGGCCATTGTTGTCTACTGCAGCCTTGGATGATGCCTGTGTGATTAGTGCTCAGATACCTCCCTGTATGCTTCCAAATTAGTGCATTCATTTTTAAAGATTTACTGAACCTCAGCCGGGCATGGTGCCTCACGCCTTTAATCCCAGCACTTTGGGAGGCCAAGACGGACGGATCATGAGGTCATGACATTAAGATCATGCTGGCTAACATGATGAAACCCTGTCTCTACTAAAAATACAAAACATTAGCCAGGCATGGCGGTACACGCCTGGAGTCCCAGTTACTTGGGAGGCTGAGGCAGGAGAATCGCTTGAACCCAGGAGGCAGAGGTTGCAGTGAGCCTAGATCACACCACTGCACTCCAGCCTGGGTGACAGAGCGAGATCCTCCATCTCAAAAAAAAAAAGATTTACTGAACCTCAGTTAGGAATGAAATACAAGTAAATATTTGATAGCTCCCAACACATAAAAACATTAGGAAAGGTGGAAAATTGATAATGGGCTATCCTCTTCATTTTCTCATTCATTTGGTCATGTATTTCTTTATTCGTTCATTCGATAACTGTTGATGAGGCATCTACAGACGTGCCAGGCACTGTCCTAGCTGTCAGGGATGTAGTAGTGAATAAGGCTGGCCTGGGTTCTGAACTCATTTACCAGCTAACTACATGGGCACCTACTACTGTGTGTTACAAAAGCTCTGTATGGCCAAGACAACTAAAAAGTGTGCTGGTATTTTTAAGTGCCTTCAATTAAATTTTGCCAAACCAAACTTTGCTAATTTATACAGTTCTGTAAATAAATTTAAAAATTTACTTATATAGATAACAACTAAATAATTCATTTGCTCTTTAGTAAACAAAATGTGTTGCATAGGTATTTTCAGCTGAAATGCAAAACTGTATTTTTTTTTTTTAGGGATCTGAACACCACACACACATATGGATTTGGGGGTGTGGGGTGGGGAGTTGCATGGGAGCACAAGAAAGTCATCACTTTCCTTCTTTCCTTTTTTTGAGATGGAGTCTCGCTGAGTCGCCTGGGCTGGAGTGCAATGGCACGATCTTGGCTCACTGCAACCTCTGCCTCCTGTGTTCAAGCAATTCTCCTGCCTCAGCCTTCCGAGTAGCTGAGACTACAGCTGCCGGCCACCATGCCCGGCTAATTTTTTGTCTTTTTAGTAGATACGGAGTTTCACCATGTTAGCCGGGATGGTCTTGATCTCCTGACCTCGTGATACACCTGCCTCAGCCTCCCAAAGTGCTAGGATTACAGACATGAGCCACCTCGCCCAGCCATGAAAGTCATCTCTTTCTAAGTTGGTACTGATTTGGTAGGAGAGGAGGGAAACTCACTGAACATGGGTGATCGTGACCTCTATTGTGAGCAAAACCACCGGTGAGCAAAGAGAAGGATTCAGGACTAGAAGTGGAAACGTGAGTCCATTAAATGCCAGAATCGATGGAAGAATAGATCACAATTCCAGCTCAGAAATGCTTAAGTGGAACCATCCCTTTGCACCCCCTGACACTTGGCAGGCATTCCTGTCCTCTGGAGAGCATTGCAGCAAATGCCAAAATGAAGGTCAAAAAGATGGAATGGACCTAGCACTTTGGGAGGCTGAGGCGGGCAGATTACTTGAGGTCAGGATTCGAGAACAGCCTGTCCAACATGGTGAAACCCTGTCTGTACTAAAAATACAAAATTAGTTGGGCATGGTGGCGGGCACCTGTAATCCCACCTATTCGGGAGGCTGAGGCAGGAGAATCGCTTGAAACTGGGAGGCAGAGGATGAGGCAGAGTGAGCCCAGATGGCGCCATTGCACTCCAGCCTAGGCCACAGAGGCAGACTCCATCTCAAGAAAAAAAAAAAAAAAAAAGGAGATAGAATTAGGTCGTGGCCATCAACATGTTTGCAAGGTCCCCAGTGTACTATTTACTGTTTTGACTGCCCAGCCCCTTGGGAGCCACCCCCATTT